GCCGATCCGCACCTTCACATCTGCATCAGATCCACCCTGTTCATCAATGATGCTGCCCAAATATGTAAAAGTTTTTACATCTTCCAAATCTTCTCTGTCAATTGTGATTGGATTGGTGCATGCTGTGTTGTATCGGAGAACCTTGCTCTTCCCTTTGTGTATATTGAGACCTACTGCTGCTGAGGCTGTTGCTACACTGTTCGTCTTCTCCTGCATTTGTTGTTGCGTTTGGGATAGAAGGGCCAGATCATCTGCGAAGTCCAGATCGTCCAACTGCATCCTAGATGTCCATTGTATCCCGTGCTTCCCTTCAGATGTGGGCGTCTTCATGATCCAGTCGATCACCAGGAGAAAGAGAAAGGGTGAGAGTAAGCAACCTTGCCTAACACCGGTCTTCACTTCGAACGACTTTGTCAACTGTCCTCCATGCACGATTTTGCAGCGTAATCCATCATATGAATTCTGTATGATATTGACTATCTTTTGAGGCACGCCGTAGTGTCGAAGAAGCTTCCATAGTGTTGTTCTGTCCACGCTATCAAATGCCTTTTCGTAGTCAATGAAGTTGATGTAGAGTGATGAATTCCATTCAATTGATTGTTCCACAATGATCCGTAGAGTTGCGATTTGGTCTGTACAAGATCTATCCTTCCGGAATACTGCCTGTTGGTCACGAAGTTGGGCGTCTACGCAGTCCTTCATCCTGTTTAACAATACCCTGTTGAAGACTTTTCCTGGTATTGAGAGAAGAGTGATGCCCCTGTAGTTATCACAGTTGCTGAGATCGCCTTTCTTCGATATTTTGATCAGAAGTCCTTCTTTCCAGTCTTTTGGTACTTGTTCCTCATCCCAAATCTTATTCAAGAGAATGTGGAGTATTCTTGCCGTTGCCGCTACGTCTGCTTTTAGTGCTTCCGCTGGAATGTTGTCCGGTCCTGCTGCTTTGCCACTCTTGATTTGTCCGATGGCCATGCTGATTTCTTCAATTGTTGGTGGGCCAACGTTGATTGGGAGGTCCGTGGGTGCTGCTTCGATGTTGGGTGGGTCCAGTGGAGCTGGTCGATTCAAGAGTTCTTTGAAGTGTTCTACCCACCTGTTTTGTTGCTCTTCAATGTTGGTGATTACCTCGCCTTCCTTGCTTTTCACTGGTCGTTCTGGTTTGCGGCGATTTCCAGAGAGTTTCTTTGTTATGTCATACAGTTGTCTCATGTTCCCTTCTCTTGCAGCCTTTTCCGCCGTCTTTGCTAGATCTTCCACATATTTACGTTTGTCGGTTCTGATGCTCTTCTTCACTTGTTTGTTTACTACTGTGTATTCAGCTTGTGCCTTGGCTTTTTCTGCTCTTGTTCAGCTGGTATTGATTTCTGCCTTCTTTCTTGAATCTTATCCAGTGTATCAACAGTGATCCATTCCTTGTGATGGTGCTTCTTGTGACCCAGGACCTCATGACATGTTGAAGTGATTGCCTCTTTGATCCCCTCCCAGTTGCTCTCCACAGTAGTTCCTTCTCCATTGAGTAGATCATGAAAGGCCTGGAACATGTTGCTGAGGACTATCTTGAATTTGTTGAGTTTGTTAGTATCCAGAAGAAAGGCCGTATTGAACTTTTGTGATATTGTCCGCCCCATTGTCCAGTGTTTCTTGAGTTTCAACCTACCCCACATGAGCAAGTTAATTTAAAGATGCACATTGCTGTGACCCAAAAAGGGAATTTAGGGAGCTGATAGGCAAAGCAAGAGCAGTATGTGTACAACTGAAGGACATCTGGAACTCAAAACAATTGTCAACCAACACCAAGGTCAGAATTTCCAATACAAATGTCGAGACAGTTCTACTGTATGGGGTGGAAACTTGGAGAACTACGAAAACCATCATTCAGAAGATAAATGTGTTTATTGACAGTTGTCTGAGTAAAATACTTCGGACCCGTTGGCCAGATACTATCAGGAACAACCTACTATGGGAGAGAAAAAACCAGATTCCAGCGGAAGAAGTGGATAGGACACATGCTGAGGAAAGCACCCAACTGTCACAAGGCAAGCCGTCGCTTGTAATCCTCAAGGCCAAAGAACACATTATACTGAGAAACGGAAACAGATATGAGAAGAATGAACAACAATTGGATAGAACTAGAAAGGAAGGCCCAGGACATAGTGGGTTGAAGAATACTAGTAGGTAGCTTATGCTTCATTAAGTGTAACAGGCGTAAGTTTATCTTTAACACATCCATGAATGGAAGACCGGCTTGGAAAAACAATTCAGAGCTTAGCTGTGTAGGAAGTTTTTTCAGTGATTTTGAAGTCGTTTATTCAAGATTTCAGCAGCTGTATCTCCTTTAAATTCCATATTCATAAAACGTTTTCTTTTGTACTGTTGGTGCTTTTTCGGAATGATGTCAAAGTGTTAAGTTATTATTGACGTATCTAGGCGGATAACCATTCCTAATGAGTCTGTCGAAGTTGAAGTAATTTCTCATCTATTGTGTCAGTAGAACATATTCGCCTGATCCTTGAAGATGAAGAGTGAATTAAATTCCTTTCTATTCAGTGGGACGTAGCTATGTAAATTCGTGTACTGCCCATTCCAGGTCGACCTTCTATAGATCTCTGCAAAAAGCCATCTGACCTTACCAATCGGACATCAAGGAAATGAAACCCCTCATTCGCCTTTGCTTCTAATTACAGAATATGTTATTTTAATTATTAGATGAAATTTGTATATTAGAGGATTTGTACGAAACCAATAGTTTAGTATGTGATACATTTACATACATTCGAATAGCATCAAGTACCGTAAAAGCTGATTCGACATCATAGTGAATAATGTTGACAGAGTGATAAAGCAAGTGGACAGAGCGCTACTTAATGTTTTATTCATACGGGTTCTTTCTGTCAGTTGTTAATATTATGAACTGAATTTGACCAGTCTTCGTGGACTTACAAACTCCTTAAATCGATACTTTAATATTCTGTGTTTACAAGTGAATCGTGTTTTTGTAAACAATAACCAATGAGATCCAGGATATCTTCGACTTGTCAGCTAGGTGAACATGCATTTTTAGTGTTGTGGATCAAACTGAAACTCAATCTAAATATCCGTTGCCTTATTAATTAGACTACAAAATTATAATAGTCACTGCAATTCATTCAACGCTAAATGAATAGTAAATATAACGAAATGAGCATCCAGTTTTTTAAAATTCCTAACCATATTAATTACATACGAATTTTTTTATTTCTCTGATTATTACTCGCTGACAAATCGCTCAGAAAAAAAAGAGACGATAGAAATCTGAAAATTTGACGTTAAATTTTATTACACACAAAAATAAATGACATTTTATTGGTTTTTCTTTAAGAAATCTCTCTGTTCATTTTTTAACAATAAAGTTTAGAACACAAACCTATTGTGAACAAATGAAATCAAGTTAACAAAATATGAAAGAATAAAAAGATGTAATTGTGTACACAAGCAAAATGTTTGCAATTTTTGTGCATTCACTGATTGATTGTGCTGAAACTTAGTTAGTGAGAATAATTTCCTTTTTATTATTATTATTATTAGCATGTGCATTAATTCATTTACTTTGTATATATTCTGTGATAAAATCAAAACAAAATAGGTATCGATTAATTGACCATTGAAAATAACAATAAATAACATACAAAAAATATGGGATAATCCACTATCTCATTCAAGTAAATATATATATATATATATATATATATATATATATATATATATATATATATATATATATATATATAAGATCTAGGCGTTAGCATTGTGCTTGTGACATGTCTGTAAATTTTCAATATTTCGAGAAAATATTTAAAATAAAACAGAATGGTTCAAATGAAAATTCACTGAAAAAATATTGTAACGACAACAATAAAAAAACGAAATGGATAAATCAAATGGAGAGAGTAATGAATAATAAAATAGTTATGAAAATATAGAATAGTACAAGATGTGTAAAGTTGAAAATAGAAGAAACAAAAACACAGCGAAACCAGGAGAAATATTATTTTCTTGAGAGAAACTAATATTTGCTCTTTAGGTAGCAGAACAAAACTAGCTTTAATTGTTATATACTCAATTTTCAGTATTAATATTATTGATCTTACATTCACAGGGTATAGGAAGATGAAGAATAAGTAGAGAAAAAATTATAATCTTTACTAAATAAATATACAAGAAACTCTTTTTCAATATATGTTCCCTTGGTTTGTATTATTCACTCACAAAAAATAAACAGAACAATGTAACAAAGCCAACTATCGATTGTGTATTGTAAAAGATGAACAGATGAAACTATCATTTTTGGCAAAACGTATAACACAAAACAAAAGATTTATGTGTGTACAATCAAAAAATATTAAGAAGATTAACAAATTAAAACACTAAAGAAATTGAAAATAGCAAAAACGAAATACAATTTAAACAAGAACAAAACAGTTAATTACTTATCAACTATTTTTTCCCAGGTTTAAACCTTTATTATTATTACTAACGTCAATAATAACAAGATCAGTATCAAACGAAAAATAATATAACATCTTTTCTACTATTCAAAAAGGTACAAAATTGATTTTCATCAGTTTTTTCTTCAGTGGAAAAGTTTTTCTACTAAAAAAATAGATGAATTCTATCTCTACTAGTGGATTTGATAAATATTTAACATTTACTGGATTTGTAAAAGTACACGTAAATAAATAGATATAAACTTATGAGTAGTTTAGTATAGAGTGAGGAGAATAGGCTTGTTCGATGGACGAAACACATACATAATCAAATACAGAAAAACATAAAAATTGGAAATTGATAAATAGTAATTCAGAAAGGAAACTAAAAAAGTAGGACCGTTTACATATTCATGTTTGGCAGATTAGAAACAGAAGAAAATAAGCAAATTATCTATCTGTTTTTCATGTGTATGGACACATCTGTACACAAGTAAAAACTCACCGAAAATAAACATCTAAATAATCTTATCCCATTATATATATATATATATATATATATATATATATATGCGCAGATGTGTCTGTGTATGCGTAATATGAATACAAGGTCATCAGTGAAATTTGATACTAATATAAACTAAAACTAATAGTGAATAAATCAAATGGTTTTCTACTTTTCTCAAAATGTAAGATATTTGAGAAAAGCGGTATACGTATGTGGAATAATGTTAAATGTTTGAAGCAGAAAAAACGAATGAGTTTGTTCCGATATATGAATATCTCTATAGAATATCAGTTTAAATGCTTCGTAACACAATATGCAATTTATTTAGTCACTGTAAAATCCATAAGATATTGTTTCATTTCCACAATTTAATTAACTAAGAGGTTGACGACAACTGATTATCTCCATAGGATACAATGAAGTGAATGATTTATTTGGTAATAAATCATTCGATGTTCTAGAAAACATATCGGAATACGATGACCCGCCAATGATATTCCTTGGACTATTCGTGTATAATCGATTTGTATTATAATTCACATTTGATGTTCCACTATAAGTAAGCGATGGAAGTAGACGAATCGAACGACTACCGCGTAGTTTTTCTTCGTATTCTAATAATTGTCGCCAAAAACCGGGATTTGGCTGAATACATGGTCTTATACTGCGCACGTGTTGATAAGCATCAGCAAGACTCATATTCGTGTGGCGCATTAAATAAGCTAATACAAGTGTACTGGAACGTGAAACACCTGCCATACAATGTATTAATGTTTTACCACCACGCCGATTTTCAGCAGCTATTCGATCGGATACTCTATCAAAGTGAACACGTAAATTTGCACTCTCTATATCTTCAACGGGGACATGAATAGTATTCATCACAGCATTACGAATATGAACCGGTGGAGAATCAATCATTGCAGATACTAACAATGTAATACCATGTTGACGTAATCTGTCCGGTGTAATAGCATTTAAACTACTCAGAAACAGATGATTATTGATGCGTGCAATTTGACTGAACATTTGCATAAAATCTATTTGACAGACAGTATTGTATGGTATAAGTGGAGTGACAGTAGTATTTCGATTCCCAATAGCAGAATTATAATTTCCTGATTTAGTAAGTGTATCACAACTTTTTTGTGATTTATCTGACGAATTAAACAATATTGGAGTGACTGACGGTGTTTTTGATCTTGTTTGACAATAAGATGAATTACTTTGCACTGTTTGTGTAGTGTTTGTTATAGTAGTAGATGTAGTTTGTTTATCACGATTACTCTCGTAAGCACCAGCAGCAGAAATCACTGAACAGGGATTTAATTTATCCGATACTACTGTGGTATATGTGCTACTAAAATTACGTTTGGGTGTGTTGGTGTAGTCATCTTTTGTAATTTCATTGGTCTTTAATAAATTACTAACAGGTAAATCAGAATTATAAAATTCTAACAGTTTTGATCTTTGCTTATCACCAATTGGTGGTTCACAATCATCCCACATATTACGACGTAAACTTAGACTATTTGCTGTCTGATTTGTTGTACTGTTATTTACTAAACGATTATTAATACAAGTAATATATGGGGAGGCGTGGGTGTAATTTGTATTACTTGTGCCAGTTGTAATTGTTGAATGATTATTGGAATCGGAAGCCCACGTTTGACTTACATATGACAGGCTTGTGCCATTCATATTTTGATGTGGTAAAATTGTGGATGACTGAGGCGGAGGGGGGATGGTAGCTTTATTAATTACATTTGTCCGTCGATTTTCATCAAAAGGACGATAGCTTGAACTGTAGATTGTTGAATAACGATTCATTTTATTTATTGTAATGTAATGATTTCTAGATAAACAGGAATTTGGTACATCTTATAAATTAAAAAGAATTATTACATAGATTGGTTTACTATTCAGCTTCTTATGATGGTCAAATATAAAGGGAAAATAAAATAGTGATTTTAAAATTTAGTAGAAGTAATTACGACAATTACACATACACTAAGTGTAGAATATTAAAATGTGAAATAAAAAGTAGAACTTATGATAAAGTCATTAAATGTAATAATACAAAAATCCCCTAGCTACGGCATAATTAATAATCTTAATTTACGAAGATAAATAAACAAACCATTGAGTTAAATAATCAAAATCTGTAGAAACTTTAAACAGCCAGCTGTTTTAGAAAGTAGATTTAATTGTTATTCAATGTCACTTAAGTATAAGGTGCCAATATTAATTTTAAAAAGGAGACTATACTGACAGTTAATTAACAATGTTTAAGAATGATAATTAGGTGATTCGCCTTAGATACTTAAAGCCATGTAACTTACCTAGGTTGACGACTACATAAAGAGAATTGATTCCTGATGAATTCGTTCAGTGCGAGAATGATATGAATATGTTGTTTATTTCCTTGTGATTCTGCTTTTGTACACTTGCTTTGGAGGTTGTTTTGGCTTATTCTGTATCTATACTCTTCTTACTTTTTCTTCTGATACTGTTGGAGTATAGTTGTTGAAGTGTAGACATCAAATGAAATAACATTATCCCTATACATTCAATTATTTTGCTTATCTTCGTGATTTTTGGTAGGTAATCTGAGTGGTGAATTAATTTTGTCTACTTCTGAATGCCATATACGACAAAGCAAGTAACACTGTCCTATACGTTAAATTTGGTCTGTTCCATAGAAAAAAGTCAGTTGACACTAATTACTTTAAGCTAATCAGTTAAGTTCAGTAATGCTTCCAAGCAAACTTGTAAACGTATTAAACTCTCATTTTCCATTGTGAAGGTAATAACAATCATGATGACTGTGAAATTGTTGAGAATGGGTAGAGCTTTTTAACAGTTAATATTAAACATCATATAAAAATTATACTAGGACAATATACCATGTTCTCCGATTTAGTGATAGTATTGGTAGGTTGAATTATCTAACTTGATCAGTATTAAAAACTAGTTAACTAGTTTTTAGTGGACGAAGAAAAAAGATGGTCTGCACTTACAAATAGTCAATTTAAACTCAGATAAACAACAGATACAGCGTTGGACTGCAGAGCTGTTTTATATAAATGGAGGTGAATAGAGGGGACCACTAACTTTCATCGTGATTGTGGATACATATTACTAGGGAGTGCTACCATACATAAAACATAGATGAAGTAGAAGTTTTAGAGCGTCACCTGCAATTATCGAATGATCAACTAATATTTGACGGTATACAAGTGTATCTGTAGATTTCTACCCACAAAATTCAAGACGACAATTGAACAGTCGTTTTGACTTATATAAGCCTATTGAACTTCGGTTTTAATAATTCATATAGTTTTCTACACATTTATGTAAAAAGAGTGATCTCAAACAATGCTTAGTATACTTTTATTTCCCTATGTTCTATATACTTTAAGAACAACTGACCAACCATTAATCTAGCATTAATATAACTAGATGTGGGAGTACATGAAGTCTGAATATTTTTTACTTGATGATAATTAATTCGAAAAAAATTAAAATATAATTACCACAAATCTCAAGTATACGTATACAAACAGTATTTCGTAACAAAAACTTGGGTCTAGAGTGAAAAATAATTTGGCAGATAAAAATGTTTTGCTTATTACATTTACTTTTGATTACTGTAAATTTAAGAGATTATCACAATACGTGTCGGAAGAAGATTAAAAGACAACAGAAGAGCTTTTAACTGTCCATTTTATGAATATGGATCGATATGAAACAATTTTGGCTACTTGAAAATCGTTTATTTCGTAAATGAAAAAAAACTAAGTGATGTAGTTATGCGAATATATCTGAGTCAGCTCTCCCTCTCGAAATGCTCTCACGGGGCCACGCGTATACAGCTACTGTCAGGGAGGACCTACTCACTGCCTTCTCGTGGCAGGGGTGTTGTTTATGAAATTGAGAAAACGAGAAGCAAATGCCCGGCGCTTTAACCAGGTTTGTGGATATAGAAGATCCACCTAGGGAAGTTAAAAAACCCTGATTCCAAACCAATGGTGCACATGGCTCCAGGATCTTGAGGGAACAAATGGCGTATGAACCAATTATTGGTCACCGGCTAGCATGCGACTGCATCTCCCCACGATGCTCCACTGCCTCGTGGAGCAGACCTTTAGGTCAAAGGCTCTGGATGTGGCCCCCTAAGAAAACCACTCGGGCAGTATCCCAGCCCTCACACAAATCGAATGATTTATGTGGCACATATCTATTTGGTGCCTCCTTGTACCAATGTTCATATGTTTAAATAAAATAAAACAAATTTACAATATGTTGTTTAACTTGGATTTAGACAGTTGATGTGTTTGATACTGAACAACGATTATGTCTCTATATCATGATTGTGTACTAAGTACTTTCTGACAGGAACATGAGAAAGTATAGAGGTATCGAGAAGTTTCCACTACCTAATAACATACTAGAAGTATAGGTAAATGATGGTCTAATCTTATGAGCAATTATTATTAAGGTACAATATATCATTTTAAAATACCAAACTATCATGAGTTTATCCAGAATTTTAGCAACCAAGTGATATTTGTAACAATTTAAACTACTACCAAAAGCTCAAGAATTCACTAGCTTATATAGTAAAAATTATTAATTAAAATACTTGAAATAAAAGCATCTTTGGAGCAATATTTTATTTTAAACAAACAAATAAGCTGTGAGAGATCAACATTAGGATCCCTTTGTAAGGTGTCGGACAAATATGATACTACAATAAAATAATGATAAATCCCATAAACACAGTGATATATGGTTGGAATCCTTGTAATTAAAAAGTGTGAACTCTAATTGTTGAAGGAATTTAAAAACACATAACAGCAAAACTCATGACGTCTTTTAGAGACAACGCATTATGTTCTGTGCTAACGGTGATGTGAAGTCATAAGCTGATGATAAGACAGGTACGAGGATTCGTTGTGAGGGATTAAATACGCAGAAAGATGGAAAAAACTGTCGTACGAATACTCATTAAGTGACACTGTAGTATATGACACAATAGCCTGTCGGAGGTAAAAATGAAAATGAAATAAATAATGTAGAAAAACAAGGTATGTGAGATTTATGGTTTATAAAAGCACGCAGATGAAAACGGAACAAAAAGTTAACGCTTACAAGCAAACACTAACAATTTCGGGATCGCCCTGATGAAATGGTAGCTTAAAAGTTTGTTTCAGATGGTGTAAGAACTTTAGACGAATATTCCTAATATTTATCATGCAAACCAGGAAACTAAGTTTTATTTGGTAAAGCTAAGATATACTTTCTTCAAAATGTTGCTTAAACTAGAGTAATAAAACAATAAATTGTTATAAAATAAAACAATAATAATACAACCCAAAAGTCTCCGATGTCGGAGCTAACGATATTATTCAGTTACTCAGGTATTAATAAGCAAGGCGAGGTTCAAACATGAGCTTGACCTTTTGAGATTTGAGAGTTTAAACTATGAAGTTACAACTTTAGTATAATGATAGGACCGCTAAGTGTTTAAAATCCCCTACATGTGCGTCAGTACCACCGAGTTCGAGTCATGTTATTTAACGTTGTAAACCGATGACTAAATATACCTCACCAACCGTAACCAGATAGCCCATATTTTTGAGAACAATTCAGACTACTAGTTAGTAACTTTAGTAACTCATTCTATATCTTGGTTAGATAACACTGAGTCCTTTTTAACTTAGCTAAATAGCATAGCGCGCCAAAATATGTGGAAGTCATGCATTATGCAACACGTAGGCAGTTTTGGAAACGTGGAACACACATGTCTTTAACTTCCAGTTACTTTGTTTTACGACTGTAGAGTAATACAGAGTGGACTATTTCTTGACATACTTTTTGGTAGACAAATTGACACTCAAATGTACCACGCTTGACTAAAGCTAAGAATCAAACGGGCATTTAAAATCTGCGCAAAGATTCCATTAGTTACGTTCGGTGAGATTATTAAGGAGGTTAGACATATTTGAGTTTCCCAACTATCATGATCTGAGGAACAAGGAGGAAGTAATGAAACTTTTTGACCACCTTAACACATTAATTAAGAGCTTGTATTGCAGCAGACTAAGCAAATACCAGGTGAAGGATTGGAATTTTTATTATCTTCGTGCATTTTACCTTCAGTAAATGGACTAAACTTTCTGAATAATGTAAGTTGAAAGTCACAATGGGAAATTACGTCATCATTATGTTTTGTTTAGAGGTTATGAAGAGCCTCAGTATATTGGAAACGTACACCGTAAATAGATTATACAAACATGCTGGAAATACTGACCCAGAAAATAGTTATGGTAATGATCATAATATTTCATCAATATGATGCGTTTAGACTTTCATCATGAGTCCAAACACATGTGATGAATAAGTAAATCATGTGATAATTCGAACTCTATTAAAAGACGGACTGAACATTTTCAGTTGAAACACGTACTACGTTTTAATCAATGTAGTTAGAGACATTTGAACATGGAAACCAGTACTCAGTGGCGTACTACAAGGTTCTGTTCTAGATCGTTTACATTTTGTATTATACGTAAATGAACTCTTGTGCACCACTAAATCCACAATCCTATTTGATACTGATAACACCAACAGTAACGGGAGGCGAAGATGCATGTGCACTCTTGGCCAACCTAGATGTTCTGCTTAACTGATCTAAAATCAATCCATCTAAGTGGATCTGCATGAACATTGAAGATGCAAAAGTAAATAATTACAGTACTGGGGAAGGGTCGGTGCCTTTTAGTCCTATCTCACAATGTCCTAGGGGTAGCGGTGAGTCACAACTTTAAGATCACGGCCCGTTGCCGTGCGATTGAAGCTAAAGGTTCAGAATCATCTGGGCTTTAGGATGAACATTTACCAGGTTGGATATAAGTATCTCCACCACAGTATAAACAACCTTGGTGGGATTCAGAGTTGGACTGCGTCTAGGCTGCAGGCCACCATTCAAAATGTGACTCTTGGATCATGAAAAATAATAAAAAGAATAGCTACCTGCAGAATTCACACATACAATGGCTTGAGAAGTTTGACTTCTTTACTTTGCCTTGCTGCAGATACAGAGGTAATCTGATTCTGATGCATAGAACTGTTAAAAATGGTTTTAGATCTGAAGGTACTATATCTTTTCCTTCACAACGGATCAGAACAACTCAGAGTACATAACAGGCGAGCTCAAAGGCCAAAAACGAGTCATCAACTCTTGGAGTTTGATCTACCCGAAGTAGTGTCCTCACGTTCAATTGAAGTGTCAGTTGGTGTGATAACTTTAACTTAACTAAAAAATTACCGAAATGGAGATTACGTTTTCGTCCGTTTGTCTTCACTGATATAAGAAATGTAACTACTTTACCAGCTTCAGGTTTATATACTCGACTGACATAGAATTCACTAGAATTCATAATATTCACTGATATACGACTGCATGAGATAGGTGGTGTTTAAAGGAACTATTCATAACACACTGTTAAGTTTATTTCTATGAACATATATAAATCTTAGTTGAGAGATGGTTATTTGATAAATGAATTCATATTTTATCTACCAGAAGCTTATAGATGAAAATTATATCTTTTGATTGTAACGTTAGCTGTGTACAGACACAATCATACAACAGATGAGATACATGAACTGGAGTAAAATGAATTTTTGGAGATTTACGAAGAAATGTTATCCGATTTCGAACAGTTTCATATTGATTAAACCGACCTAAACAACACCATACTATTTAACAGGATGTTTGGTGCTGTCTATCACCAACGGCTTACCCCAAGTTTGTCAAATCCAGTAGGATTTTTCTGATACCAGAGACTTAAGACTGTTCTTCAACGTTGAGGTTCAAGCGCAAATTAATAATACCGATTGATACCAGCCTATCATAAACACCTTAGGCATGATGAGAACTGATACCCGACAGTACTGTCTGAAAGTCCTTAGAAGTTAATTCTTGATTATCTCTAGGTTTGAAAAGACATAAAACCTCTAGAACAATCAAATATCCATCATTATTGCTTTTGGGAGACTACTGAATTATCAAAATTTGTAATAGATATTAAGACCACTTTATTACACGTAGTAAACTAAAAAGTTGTTTAGAGATATTTATGTGAAATAGTAATATATAAGAAAATGACACATATTTGTTTTGATAGATCTTTATCAAAGATATTGGACAGTTCTGTTACCCACGTAGATGCTACAGATACGTTCAGAAACATCTACATCAATAATCAGATAGGAAGAAGCCTCTAGTATACAGCATTCTAGATATGGTATTATCCAGATGGGAAATAATTAAGTCCACAATGTTTAAAATATGAAAATACTGATTTTTATACACTCGTGAAATAGGGAAAATTTAAGTTTTCTAGTAAAGCATATTTAAACCAGTGTTTTTTTTCTAGTGAGTAAAGTAATTCTGATAGAAGGTTCGTTATCGCAACCAGTTTTCGCCGTTTTTTAACATATGTGCCATGCAAAAACTTGCTTCTGGAAATTCTGATGGCGATTTTAAATAAAGTTTGGTTAGTGGGATAAACATAGAAACGCTATAAAGTTTAACTTCAGATGTATAGGACCTACATAGAAGAACGAGTACCAGTGTCACACAGGATTGATTCACAACTTAACGACATACAAATATATGTTAACAGACTAGTACAATGACTAGAATAACAGAAATACAAACGACATAACAGAATTAAGCAGAATAATCTCTACCTGGTATAAACCGATATGTTGAGCAATAAAATAAATTCAGCTCTTCATGTTCTGTACATCAAAGAATGCAATATGTCAAATCTTTACTGAAAATTTTAAAAAGAGCCATAATTATATTTTAAAATTAACAAAGAATGAATAAAATATTACACATGTCTTTGTTTTAACTGTTGTCATGACAACATTTAAGCTCTCATCTTAAACATATGTGAATGTAAGAAGAATGGCCGTTAATTGAATTATCTCTCAGAATAAACTGTTGCATTGCAGTCGGAGTAATATATTAGTTTTTAGCACAACATGACTGATATGTTAAACGTGTTATTGTGTGATGAATTAGTAAATTGTCATTGTCATATATGCTGACATGTCACCATATGTTTCACCATATATTTCCAAATCACCCTTCATGTATTCAAGGGTTTTAAGTTATTCTTAAACCTCGTGTTGTCCCATGTTCGTCAACGGCTACTAAGTGTCTTGGCCATATGAGTTCATTATGGTTACTAGGCAGTATTAATATATTTGCATTATTTCTGGAGGCACATAAAATAAGCAATGTATGGCTAAATCTTTGTCGATGTTTTAAACCAGTGTGAGTATGATTATTGTTCACGGTTGGTGATTAGGGTTAGGAACCAGATTACTGTTTTCATTACTAACTGACATGTAAAATGCCAAGACGCTATTTAGCCAAATTGATGAATAAGTTTCGCGCCAAAACCCAAGACCTGTTATCCTATATCTGATTGATTCGTCCATAAATTGCGGTTTCGCCTGTTTATAAATTACGTGTGCTGGAATATATCTATGTCCCACCACAGTTAGATCTCTTTCAATGAAGAATTCGGTCAAACATGATGAATAAGATGCTCTAAAACCACTTTTTATCTCCGATAAAAGATTACTCCCTCCAACGTGACGTGAAATAACGGCTCGAATAACTTCCATTAATTTATTAATGATGCTAGTCGGACAAACTTTTCAATTGTTGACTGGATGTTTACGAGGCCATGGCATCCTTGGAGTATATTTGTACTTTTGACTGCCTTAGAGATACATCAAACAGTACTCTCAATGGCTAAGCAATCATATCCTCCAGGACCTCCATGATTCAAGGACGAGTATTGTCAGGACCACTAGGCTTATCTGGTCGGACATGTCAGAGTATTTGTTGAACAAATTCCGTCGAAAATACTCGATTGTTAGAACTAATGTCCGGGCTCTCAACATCACATTTTGAAAAATCACCGAACTAATCAAACGAGGCTTTATTGACATAACTAATTGACGATCTCAGTGAATTTTCTTGCAGCAGGAGTCACGGTAGTTCACAAGTTTTTGAGTTCACCTCACTATATACAAGAGCAACCATTTATGACTGCTCTGGGGATCCAAGACCAGAGGTTTCTCATAAACTAATAAAGCTCTACTCATAAGCATTTCAGAGGCGTTTCTAGTTTTACATCAAATGGATTTGGATTGTTCTGAGTCTGAAGAGGTGAACAGGTTCCTATGTATCTTTCTATATCTAAGATACTTTTTGACCCATTTTGTTATCCGTGGCAGATACTGGTTAGATCTATGTGATTTTAGGCGTGACATAAATTGCAACGTAACAGAGTTAAAAGTAGCCTTAAGAATGAGCGATATTTTATCAGTTGTTGAATTAATGTTAGATAACTCATCCATCACTCAAGGCCGGAATGCTTACTCGCCACACATTTAGGCTAGTTTAAGTATGATCACTGACTGTGTCACAGATCCGGATCATTACTGCTACCTTGACGTGGTGGTCGGGCTTGTCTATCGTAATGAGCCAATCGAGCTATACTGGCGGGAACATAAACAGTCACCAAATATGAATGTTTAAATATTTCTTTCAAACTGTATAAATAACTACAATCCAGTAAATATCTTTTGATCAAATTGCAAACGCAAGTTTGAACAGTAAAATCGTTTAGTCAGGGCCAATTCCTTTTCGATTTGTTTTTAATAATACTACAATTGGTTTGAGAAGAACATGAATGATTCTTATGATATACAACTTCGCACTTTTAGAATTTACGAAAGCAGGAAGCGAAGTATCTAATCAAGAGAATATGACAAAGATTCCTTTGAATGAGACAGAATTTGAATATCTAAGAACTACACTTATATCAGAATCAACAAGTGTTTCAGATAAATTTGATAAGCTGTATTATTCTAAAGGATACCTTACAGGAAGGCAGGTAGGTAGACAATAAAAGGATTTTAGAGATTGAAAAAAATAAATTTCTTCTCTGTAACATCATTTCAGTATACCTCATATTTAGACTAGTCCCAATTGTCGTTTGGAACATTATTAAGTCACGAAGGCATAATGAAATCTGTCTGTTTGAAGTTCTTATTTTTTTAAACTCATCCTGAAATGCATGACAAACGTTTTTAAATTCACTCATTCAATGAACACGATCAGCAGTCAAACTGCCCCTATATTTGTTTTTTCTCTGATTGATCGTCAAATTTCGGTATTTTGGGTAGTGAAGATTATTAAATTCCGTGGTTTTACATTATGGACTAACTTGAGATAGACAACGTTTGAGAACCAGCATGTGCTGCTCAGCTGTTTCATCCTATAACGAAACTTTATGAGTATGGATACACAACACTACTAAGGCTCGAATCCTGAATATTAAAGCCTTGCAGAAAGTGTTTGATTCTCAGACCACTGAGTTATCATCCAGTAGTTTCCATCTATAACTTCAACCGATTTGCGGTATCATGATTTAGGTGCGAACCATTCAAATTGACAGTATTTTAATGGTTTTTAGTCTGTAATGTATTTGGGACAACCAGGTGATTAGTGTTGGCGTTAAGGTCATAACTTTTGTGGAGATGTAAAATTCATCGACTATTATGTAAAATTTCATTTGCCGACATGATTGAGAAATACGTTACGGATGTCCACCCACTGCGTAACTTGACTATAGATGGTACTTGACGTAGAATTAGGTTGAAAGAGAGTTATAGGAGGTAAAGATAAAAGATAACATCAGTTCAGATAGTCGTATAATGATAGTCAGGGAAGTGTGAATGGGTTTAAACCGCTTAGTTGAAATCCAATATGTTAATTGTGATCACGAATCGGAAGCCTAAGGTAACGTGACTCAAGATAAATCACAGTAAGGAGAATGGATTTACTGTCTTTCTTCTTAATCTTAAATTTTGTTAGCATTATATCACAGTTTTTACTTCCATATTTTAACCCTTCGTCTCATAATCCATTCTCTATTCTTGATAATTTTCATCACTTTGGGTACTATTTATTTGCATAGTGTATTATTCATTTATTCTCACCGTGCGTATATTAAGTATGAAAACTTAAAACTGTGTTTATTTGTGCATGTCACTGAGTTTTTTTATAATTTACTGACAAACGTATTCTGCTCAGTACAGTAAGACATTTTTCTTAACAATATAATTATTATACACAGATG